TGATTTTATCACAGTATATTGTTATTGTTCTATTTTATCATTGTTATTAAGAGTCCTGTGCCTAATTTGTAAACTTAACTTTCTCATAGGTATATATATTTACAGGGGGGGAAAAACATAGTATATATAGTGTTGCGTACTCTCCAAGGTTTCAGGCATCCATTGGAGATCTCCAAATGTACCCCTTTGCATAAGGGGTGACTACTGAGATACTATCTAACAACCAGGTGGTCTGAACTGACATGGAAAGTCAGGCCTGAGAGTGGTAGAGAAGGGACCCACAGGCTGAGCCAGCAGGAAAGCATTAGGAGAAGAGGGCTCAGCCGGCCCCCTGGTCATCCCAGGTGGATTGTATATTACATTTTATGTACCCMCTATAATACCACTGGGCTCGATACCATTATCATCTCCATTTCATTGATGCTGAAACTGAGGCACAGTTCAGATAATGTCCCAGGGTCTCAAACATAGACAACATAAAAGCTAGAATGCAGGGCAGATGTGTCTGGCACCAAAGACTGGGCTCTTTCTGCACTGTTCTGCTCATTCCCAGACCAGAAGCTATTTCACCACCCAAGGCTTCTCTTCCTCCCTACAGACCCTGAGTCTAGACTCTCAGGAAGTATACAGAGCACTTTGCCACACCCACCAACCCCTACCCTACACACACACACACACACACACACACACATGTGCACGCACTCATGCACCTTCTAACCTGGGGTGGGGGGCATGGCAAGGCAGGAAGCTGGCCGAGTCCATTAGCACCACCAAGCACAACACATATTTATGGCACCAATTACAGCCTTCACCTCCTGCCGCAGTGAAGGCAAAGGAACGGCGACAAGAATAGTYGTGTGCACTGGGGTCTGAGGCCTCTGTAGCAATAACTACAAGATTACAGAGATGTTAGCAAATCCCAGTGAYGGCAGCTCTATTGTAATGATAAATCTGCAGCTTTATGTAGGAATAATGAGATGGGGGCAGAAGTGGTGGGGGAGGGGGAGAGCAGGGTGATGTTAGCCAGTCAAGGCTCTGGTTGAAGAGACATGGCACCTTTCTGGAAATGTCCAGGTCACACCACCAGGCAGGAGAGAGTGCGGCAGCTTCAGGGCAACCCTGCGCAGGGCTGGAACGAGCGCCATGGATTCACTTATTTCCTTCTTAAGATGAGCGTCTTGATTCAGTGGAAGACCACAGGCCTCCAATCCGATCGCACCAGCAGACCTGCTTGCCTGCTTTTCGCCCGCTGGCGGGTGCTGTATATTAATTAAGTGCTAGGCTGCCTGGGCTTCCCTCCAGAACAGCCTGAAGGTGAGGAGGCCAGGGTTCCTCTCTTGTGGCTTCAGATCTGCAATTAACAAAGAGCTAGACGACTCCTCACATGGTTACTTCCCCGTCCCTAGCCTTGACGCTCAAAAATGTTCAGTGGCTGACAGAAACAAGACCAATGCAACTTCATACCAATGCCAGTACTAGGGCAGCGACCTGCCTGGATCCACATGCCAGGCTGAAGCTGGCTCTTGTGGCACTCATGAACCACAGAGCAGCCTCCTGAGGCCTGATTCTCACAGTGCCTCTCCTGGACAGCTTGTGGGTCCTCTGTGTTGGTCCAGATTACCTGATCTTTGGTTAGTCTCTACCTAGCTAGTCTCTTTGCCACCCGGGGCCAYCCCGTGCCTCTAAAGAGATGCACAGGCAGGTTCCCTCCCCGCCAAGCCTTGCTCTACCCATTTGCAAAATACTACTGAGCCRCTCCTCCAGGAAGCTTCCCCAGGGTGACTCCACCCGAGTCCAGCTGCTTCTTCCTGATGCTCTTCTTGGACAGCATTTTAACTGAACTAAATGAGTCATCAGTCATTCAACAAGAGTGTGCTGAGTTCTTAGGCTCAGAGAACATACAAGAGAGAGCCACCATAGGACAGAGTCGTGCCTGAATCCTTCACAGGGACTCAGGTCTCCAAGACTGAGTATGATGGGGTATCTCCTTGGGACACAGAGGATACATAAGAGAGGTGGTGAGTGCAGGAGGCTACAGAGAGACTTTAAAAGGTGCAATGGTTTGGGCTGGACACAGGTGGGGGATAGGTTGGCCTAACAGCGCCCTTGTGAGCAAGAGGCAAGARGCAGGAATGATGGGCATGTTGAGAACCAGGCTGACTGAGGCAGAAGAGCTGCCATTCAGAGCTCAGGTCCAAAGTATAGCTCCAGGGACACAATCAGGTCCACAGGAGATATAGGTGCCCACTTTCTGTTGCATCCATCTGTCCCCCACAGCACTGGCTACAGGATTTCATACATACTTAGGGCTCACATCATTCCTAGTGACTGTGACTTGGGTCTCCCTGGTTCCAAAATAATTACATTTTCACACTCTGCACCACAAAGCAGGTAAAAGTACCAGTGTATTAGTATCCTTTTCCCCAACTCTGCTGGAGTCCTCGCCTGCCAGAGTTTGAGCCTATTCCTAAGGACAATGCTGGTGGGGCTGCAGGCAGGAGGGCCCAGGGGACTCACCTCAGGAGGAATCTCCAGCTCAGACAGACTGCAAGCGAGATAGGCGTGTGAGCCTGGTCCCCGGCTCTGCAGCTCTGCAAATGGCTTGGCCTGGACTCAGCTCCTGACTGGAATGCATCCCTTTCTTCTTGGCCTATCAGGTTATTTATACTCATCTTTCTCTACCGATTATAATTCCCTCACCTGGGAGAACTCCCCAGGCTGTCATTGCTCCCGGGGCTCTTGGAACCATACACCATACACAGTATCTGCTGGTTTGCTCTGCCAGCTACCCAACGCACGTTACCTGTCTATWATTAAATTCCCGCGGGTCAAAGAGGCTGCCTTCTATCACAGCCCCTCCTTCACCTCCTCAGGACCTCAGRTGGTCTCAGGAGGAGGTCTCTAATGACACTGGCTTGGGAGGATGAGGTGGTGAAGAYATGTCCAGTGCCCTTTAGGYGATCTGTCTTTTTCTGAAGCTGGGCTGGGGAAGTGGGTTTGGGACAGTGAGTGACAAGGTTCYAGAATGCAGGAAGTTAGGTCCGTGCTTGAGCATGGACTGCCTACTCCAGGACSAAGTTGGTACTCCTGTCTGGAGCAGGGAATAAGAAGGTGGGGACTCYGGCCGGGGACAGAGGAGGCTCCTTGGAAGGTTGAGCAGAGACAGCTCTGCAGCCCCTGAACCTCACAGCCCTGGACATGGCCTCCGTGTGGGAAAATCGAGTTACTCTTCACCTGTCCAGTCACCATAATGAAGCTGCCACCTTAGGAGACACGAGGGAGGAGCGGMACCAGATGTAGACTTCAAAGTGATTTATGTTGCTCCTGGGCCTGGGCAGGCGCACAGCCGCCGTTCAGCCAGCCCCATCTTCCGACCCGTCCGTCTGGCTCCTTGTGTGGGATATCATTTCAGTAAAGCTTACGTGGGGGATGCACAGCGACATTCGGTTGGACTGGTCAAAGTCAGCCCTGGCTCTGAGAATGTCCCCAGACATCCTTCCTGGGGCAGAAGTGGAGTCCCCCACCCTATCTCTCAGAACCAATCAAGATTTGTGCCCTTGATCAATGACAGCAGGGACTGATTTTCCCAGCCTTCCTCCTTWCAAATTCAACAAAGATATCGAGTAAGGACTGTCCAAAGGCAGGATCTGCAGACAGAGTAGTCAGCCCTCTAACTCAAATATGGCTCATCCAGGGAGACCCTCAACCAGGCAGAACTCAAGACATTACATAGAAGCCATGGGAGCTTGGCAAACATGCACCTGCTCTCAGCCACCCAGGTGGGCTCCAGGGGGCATGTATTAGCTACACTCTCAGGATGTGGTACACAGCCTTATCAGCTCAGGGGACTAGAATATGCCATCCACACCTAGTAGGGGCTCTGGGTATGCCTTCTCTAGTTCTCTGTGCCAAGTTTGTCCTCTGTGCTTTTAAAAACCAACTTGAACCTCAACTTTTTGAGACCTTCCCTGGTCAGTTCCAGTTGATTGTGAACAGCCCAGTGTCTACTCTAACATGTGGATTAGCCAAATGCCCCATCTCCCAGACCACCCTGAGAGGATAATGCTGAAGACAAGGGACTGCTGTGTGTAGTCATTAGTGTTGTTCGTTAGATAGATGGTACCATTGCTTTGCTCCTACCATTTTTATAGTAAGAGTTGCCATATGAGGTTGGTACTGTGGMACATGCCTGTAATCCCAGTGACTCGGGAGATTGAGGCAGGAGGATTTCAAGTTCAAGGGCAGCCCAGGCAATTTATAGAGACCCTGAGCAACTTAGTGAGATCAGGTGTCAAATTTAAAAAAAAAAAAAGAAAGAAAGATAAGAAAAGGACTAGAGATGTAGCTCAGAGGTACAGCACCCCTGGGTTCAATCCCCAATACAGTTTAAAGTGGAAAAAAAAAGGGAGGGGGTTCTAAGTCTTGCTTTGGCYAATGACATATGCCACAGCTGCATGGAAGTCTTAAGGAATAATGCATGATTTGCCATATCCTCTTCCTCCTGATGTTTAACTGTGGGAACACACATTGAGATRGAGCCTGGGTTGGCTTGGGTTCCTGAGTAAACTGGGTAGGGCCCCCAGCCAAACTGCAAAGTACATGTAATATGAATGAGAAATAAACCCTGGTCGTCTTAAATCACAAAATCCTGGGATTGTTTGTTGCYGCTGTATAACCTGGCTCATCCTGACTGATAACAACTTGTTCTTGATTGCCTGTTCCCAGTTTCTAATATACATCAGTAGCCTCAGTAGATGTTGCTGGGTGATTCAGTCCACAGGACTGGCCCAATTCTTACCTCTGATCCAGGAGACATGTACAGTTTTCTAGATGGAAAACCTGAGGCTTCGTAAGTAGACGGAACTATCTCAGAACACACAATCGGAATCCAAAGATAAAAACTCCCCTCCCTTCCCACCTCATGGTAGCTCTTCTATCCCCCACCCCACCCAACCCAGAGCTGTGAATCCACAATAGCCAAGGAACAGTGCTCTACTCACACTGGTGGCATACTGGATGTCCTTCCAGATGGAGGTTTCCCGGGACAGGTCRGAGGCCTCAAAGAGGTTGTCCAGGATGACCTCCCCAATCATGTCATGGCGGGAAAAGCGGTCAAAGTCAAAGACACTGAGATGCAGCTTACGGTCAGCCAGCTCCTCATAGGGGACAGGGAAGTGGAAGTTCTCATCAAAGGTGGGGTTCAGGGTCTTGCGGTGCACCCGGGTCTGCAGCTTGCATTTACGGTCAGGCAGGAGGTAGATCTTGACATAAGGGTCAGAGCTTCCACAAAAGTCCTTGGCAGGGAGGTCAAAGGCCTTCAGGATGCGCACGATCAGGGTCTCACTCTCRTAGTCGTAGCGTAGGCTAAAGTTGATCTTCCCACAGCTCTTGGCAGCCTCGGACTTGGCTTCGTCGCCGTCCACTGACTTCTGCTTGTAGAGCTCAGGCTTGATGCGGCCGATGCTGGTGGGCTGTTCCGCCGCAGGTGGCAGCTCATTGCCATAGTCTACGCTGGAGACRTGCATCTGCCGTGGCAGGTGGCGCTTGAAGGACGTGTGCCTGGCGGAGGGGGCAGAAGAGTGTGTCAGGGCTCAGGAGGAGGGGATTCTGACAGACCCAACTGTGTTGGCCCTGGCCCATCCTACCCCTGTGGCTCACCTTTCCTCCCTCTTGCTGATCCCACTTCCCCTCTGCACACACTCTGTGCACAAGGTTGGCTGCAAGCATTTCGTGTCTTAATGTATGTAAAGCAGTTGGAATGGAGCCTGGTGTACAGCAAGTTCAATGAACGTTAGCCATTGTTATCGTAATCATTGTCCCTGCTTTTCTGYCATCTGCTTTCTAGGTTTCTCTCCTAACTTGGTGTAACTGTGATTCCTCCATGAAGCCATGACCCAGCCTTAGGACCTCTCCTTCTCCCCATCCTCATGATCCTCATCACCAGCAACACCATTTATGATTTACCATAGAGCAGGCAGYAGAGGGGTTAAAAGTACAGGCAGATTGCATTGGTTAATTTTGGCTCTGCCAATTTTCTAGCTATGTGACTTTGGGCAAGTTATTTAACCTCTCTGTAATATAAAAATAAGGATAATAAAAGTAGCAATCATTTAGGATTGCTGTAAGGGTGAAATAGATTAACATATAAAATGCTCAGGACAGGGCCAGGTGTAATAATCAATATATGTATTAGCTCTCATTAATATCACWTGGATTCTTTAATGGACACCTCACAACAAACTTGGAAGAGTCCTTAGCCCTATTTTACAGTTGGGGAAAGTGAGGTTTAGGGAAGGCAGCCAACTTGCCTGAGGCCATATGACAAACTCTGTCCCTGTGATTGCTAGCACTTTCATTCCTGYCCTTCCAGTCTGAAGACCAGACTCCCTTTTCTTTTGGTTGGTCCCTGGGAGCCTGGAGAGACATTGCAGGGGCTCAGGAATCCACCAGAGCACTAAATTTGTGTAAATACAATTTCTTGTACATGTATGCACCACATCTTTTAAAAGTGTTTTCTGAATTTAGAGTAGGTTTTTAATCACTGTCTGTTGTCGGTATTGTTTTGAATTAAAGGATGTCTTGTGTACAATTGCTGTCATGCAAGGAGCTCTGGAGGGTTTTAAAAGAATCTTCATTCTCAAAATGTTGGCTCTTGTTTTTACTCCCATGCACTGTGGACTGTAGCTAAGGGGTTTCACTGACATGTCTTCACACACCATGAATGTTCATGCCTCTGGACCTTTGCATATTCTCTCCCCCCCTGCCTAAAGTTTTTCCTTCTCTTCAAACTCCCAACACCCTGCTACTCCACTCTTATTCCCCCCACATCCACACCTATCCCAAGTGCACACCACATCCACAGCACTCCACCTTAACATTTCCCCTTTAGTGACACCTTTCCTGCCACCCACATCTTCTTTGCATGGATCATGCCCTTTGATTTATTCTTTAGTCAAAGGACACATGCTATCATTCCTGGTCTCTGATCTTCACAGGCTGGAATCTCATGAATGCATCAAAAAAAAAAAGGAAGTTGGCCATGGGAGGGTTAGAAAAGGAGGGGTGGCCCCTTCACCTGGTGGATGATGCTGGCTCTGTGGTCTGTCGCTGCAGCCGGGTGTGACGCATGATGTGCTCCTTAACTGACATTTGTACCTCCGCCGGGATATCTGGMGACGTGTGGCTGATCTTCACGGCGGCCTCCAGGAAGCCCAGGGTGCTGGGGTCCTTCAGCTTGTCCGCCATGTTGCCTCTGGAGYTGGGACTCTGGAGGGCCTCCAAAGGAGGGTTAGCAGCAGAGGGACTGGAGGCCTCCTTGTTCCTCCAGGGCATCCAGCACAGCTTCCAAAAGAGAAAGAGAAAAACTGCCACCAGGGCCACRCCACACACAATAACTACCAAGGCCAGGAGGCTGACAGAGGTGCCTGCCCTCGGCACGAGCCGGGCAGGGAGGGACAGAGACAGACAGGAGAGCAGGTGACAGTGTTGGGGGGGGGGGGGCGGCACACAGAAGGGACGAAGACGGAAGAAGAGAAAAGAATGGTCATGAGAAAAGCTCCCAAGTCTGAGGGAGAGAGACGGTCTTCGGGTTGACTCCCAAGGGTCCATTTTGTGAAATATCTGCAGCCTTATGTTCACCTCCGTCTGGTTTCTCCAGGGTTATCCCCACCCCCCACCCTCCGCCAGCTTGGGGAGCACCTGGCTGCCTCCCCTACTGCCTACTGACATGTGCACCGGGAAGGCCAAGTGACTTAAATGGCAGTCTAAGCAAATGTGCAAATTCGTGAAGCGTGCATGCTTAGATGCCKTTGGAATTTCTATTAGAGATGTTACTACGGGCAGACTTTTAACAGTGATTTTTTTGTATACAGATCTCCTCCCCAACTGGCTGTGAAGCCCTGTGGGGTGGGGGTGGAGGCTCATTAACTCACCCTCCCCTCTTCTTTGTCCCACCCCCATTGGGCCCAAGGCTGGAGCTCATTGTGTTGACTTCAGGGAAATGGGGTCGAGCCTCATCTCCYTGAAGGCAGAGACTGGCTGCTTCTTCCCACAGCCCTGCATGCAGGAGGACCCCATGAATACTCGTGTTGACTTAGAATCTGATCTATACAGTAAGTCAAAGCTAACCTCAAAATACAAATGATTCTGATAGCCTTCCTTCTCCATTTCCATGGCTCTTTGAGAGCTTTGCTGCCAAGCTGGTATTTTTAGGCACAGTGGTTGATTTGGAGGTGGACACTCACTGCCCCATGCCCAGCCCACTCCTGAACCAAGAGATGTCCATTATCTCAGCAGAGCTGCTATAGCGGGGTGCCTGCCTTTGTGAGAAATCACTCAGCAGACCTCTCATCCACTTCCCTCCCCAAACCTGGGAAGGAAGCTCTGAACCTCAGGCCTCTTCCTGCTCTGAGTAAAGTTAGAAGGCTCTGAACCAATGGCTGGCTTGTGGGCCAAATGGTCAGCGAGTAAAAACGGTCACTGTTGGACAAGTCAGCAGAAGAGTTTTGTTTGGCTTGCATTATGACTGAAAAGTCACCAAATTACATACATCATTGCCCCAGATTTCTGGCTTTTCTGGAAGAAGCTGATGACTCGGTAGCTGGACTTAGGTTCCGCAAAGTGGGAACTGGTGACTCCTTTGAGCTCCCTGCCAGCTCAACCTGGCACTCCCTGTTCCCCGAGGCAGGCTGGTGGGGTTGCAGTCGTTGGATTAGTCTGCTTCAGTGCTTTAATAATCTTAGGAMTGATGGTGAGGAATGACTCCACAGGTACTGAGGCCAGGCTGTACCTTTACAGATGGGAGCAGTGTCCCTGAGCAGAGATTTGCCTGCAGTTACAGGTTGGTCAGATGCAGAACTCAGACCAGGGTCCAGATGTCCACTGCCCAGCCTGGCACTCTCTGCACTGTCCTGGTCTGTTTGTCCCTGGTGAAACCACAGGCTCCTGGAGGCTATTGTGATCTTGTTCTTTTCACATTGACTTGACTCATGAACTAGCATAGGAACTGGCACATGAGAGTGAGCGAGTGAATGAATGGCATATAAAAGGGTGTAATTATCTCTCTCTCTCTTTTTAAAGGGTGTGATTATCTCTCATTTAAATTAAGTTTAACCAACATTTACKGAGCATTTGGCATGTGCCAGGTTCTGAGCTAGGCTTGGGGTACAAAGATGCCCAGTCCTTCCTGGAGGGAGGCTGGGTACTTTCCCTGAATACAGGTTCAAGGAAAGCTGTCTCACATCCAAAGGGATCTGAGAAGGAGGTGAGAACTTCAGCCACACTCTCTGGGGAGCCAGCATTGCCTTTCAACTCCCTGTTGCAGATAACTTTCCTAGATCCACTACCAGGTACCTCCATGAAGAGGGAATAATAGCAGAGACTCTTCTTCAAGTTCCTAGCCACAGACCACCACCTCTGTCTCCTGCCCAGACCCTGCACAGAGACATCAGGGCCTTCCCCTGGCCAAGAGATGGGGCTCATCCTTCCTCTAGAGACTGCCAGGGACCAGAAAACTGGATTGATTCTAAGTTAACCACTAGGTTAAAGGTCTCTAGTGTGGTGAGCACATGCCTTGGGGCCACAGGAAAAGAGATCATTTTAATGTATATTTATTATCTCATATAAGAAATCAAAAATTTATATGCAGATTGATAGTAATAACAGCATTTTATTATTGGGTTTAGTCAATTTATTCAACATGACTATGTCCAAGGCTCAAAATGCTTTTGATATACTTSTTCACTCAATCCTTTCCAATGAAATAGGTACAATATGATCCTGATTTTGTAGACATAGAAACAGACACAGAGAGTTATATAGATTGCCCAGGTCATGCAGCCCGTAAGGGGTAGAACTGGGCCATAAACCAGCCAGTCTGGCTCTTCAATTTCACTGCTATAGAACACGTTTATAACCTGGGGACAAGTAAGCATCTATTGGAGGTACTAACTCAATATTTTTTTGTTATGCATTCATGATCTAAATGGCTTGGGGACTAKTTTTCTAAGCYTTTATCCTCCCGGGATCATCAGGAAAATGACTACAGATATATGTGTCCTTATTCTGTGTGTCGGGCCATCTCCAGACCCTTCAAATCTATTCTGTTAACAGCTGTTCTGGATGCATCCTCTGCAATATGAGTCACCTTAAAACAAAAGGTATTTCTAGGGCCTTGCTTTCCTTTGATCATACATTTTGCTTGCTCTGGTAATAATTAGAATTTTAATGAGAAGGGGGGAATGAGGGGGAATCCAGAGAGCATAGAGTGCATTTAAATGTTCAGGCTGACAAAAAAAAAAMAAAAAAAACTGAATTCATAAATGAAAAGAGAGGTGGGGGAGGGGAGGGGCCAGGGGGATCAGTTTTTTCTCAGTGTGGTTGCTATTTTGATTGCTTCTCCACGTGACCCCCAGCTGTTGTTCCCTTGGAGCCGTGGCTCCCTAATCACAGAGGCAGAGGATATGGATTATTGGGAATCAGCACCCAGCACTCGATACTGGTTATATAAGGCCAGGAGGCCCATCCTATGCCTGGAGGATCTTCTTCYAGGAGAGCCTGGGCTTTTGACATCTCACAGGCAGGCAATGCAAGGAAAATTGGCTTCCAAACAGAGAGGATTCATCCATACGGGGTATGCAAGATAGTGAACATGACAAAAAGAGCGGAATCAGGCCAGGGGGAGGAGATGATTATAGAGGATTTAACCCCTTTAAAAAAATCACCCCATGTGGCCTTGAACTCAACCAGCCTTCATCCCCTGGTGTGTTAGTCAGCTTTGCGTCACTATAACACACACCTGAGATAATCAACTTATAAAGAGAAAAGGTTTATTTTAGCTCACAGTTTTAGAGGTTTTAATCTGTGTCAGTTGATCCTATTGTGACACATCGTGGTGGGAACATGTGGCAGAACAAAACTGCTTTCCTCATGGCCAGGAAGTGAAACAGAGAAAGGCAGAGGGAGGTGCTGGGGTCTTGCTTTCTTCTTCAAGGGCACACACACAATAATCTGAAGACCTCCACCTTTTCCTGYTTCCTCCACCTCCCAAGAGTGCCACTCTGGGAAACAACCTTCCAACAAATGCCTTTGGGGGACATYCCAGATCCAAACCATAGCATCTGGAGAAAGGTACACTGAAGTTGGGAAGCGATGCAAGCTCCTTCGGTGGCCTAAGGTCAGGCCCAGATGACCTAAGTTGTGTACCTTCCTACCTTGGACTTTTGGGGCCAACACATCAGTACGTGTCGCCTCCCTAGGAAATGACAGGTGACAAATGGCCTTCAAAACCCCTTTCCCACTCACAGCTTGTTTGAACTTYAGCCCTGGGAGGCAGATGGAATTCTGAGGGCACCTCTGGCCCCTCTCCGAGTTCTGACCCTGTGATCTTCCCGTGTATACCTGGAGTAGCCCCTGGCCAAGAGGTAAGTCTCCAGTGACAGAGCAAGTGCTCAACACAGCACAGCAAAAAAGAAAGTACTTTCCAAGTGTCTGTTTTCTTCCTCTGACTCTTCTTCTTACTCTCTCCTTCTGCTTAAAGAGAAAGAAGCCTTGCTCAATGATGCTCAGAAGACAGGGCTCATTGAAAGTCCATCTCCATTTTAAACTGTTTGACAAACTGTGTAACCTTTCTCAGCCTCAGTTTTCTCATCCATTAAAYGGAACTACTACATTATTTACCTCATAGGGTCCTTGTGAAATTTAAATGGGGTCAAAAGTGTATCAAAAGTGCTGAGGTCAGCGCTTAAGAAGGTAGCAAGTAGTAGAATAAACRTTAGGCTATTTTTTAATTAGAATTGCCTAGTTTTGAACGTCCCTTAGTTCTGAGATGTGTTTAGTGGGCAGAACACCTGCAAACCATGAACGATAATATAGATAGCTTTAACCTTATCATTACAAACCAAGAATAATCTTGCCAGCAGAAACAATATAACTATTTCCTACATTTCCAGGRCCCTCTGTGCTTTGAGACACAGCACAAACCATGTCAAAGATCACACATTTCCAAGTTTCTGTTAATATCTGTTTGCTTGTTACTTTCCCCCTTGTTTTATTGTTACCATTACCACCCAGCTGGTGAACAGGAGTTCCAAAGAGTTCCAAAGAATAAAATCGTGAAAGAAAAATGTACAATCAAGAACATCCTATGTTCTTGCCAAGTTTTCCTGGAAAAAAATTTTTTTTTTTTATACCAGGAATTGAACCCAGGGGCACTTAACCACTGAGCCACATCCCTAGTTCCTTTTATGCTTTATTTAGAGACAGGGTCTCACTGAGTAGCCTGGGGCCTCAATAAGTTGTTATAATTGGCTTTGAACTCACGATCCTCCTGCCTCAGCCTCCTGAGCTGCTGGGATTATAAGCATGCACCACCACACCTGGCAGTTTTTCTGGAAATTAAGGAAAAGAAGTCCATTCCTGTTCCAGT